ACAGGCTTTTTGCCAATTTTATAAGCTGGAAGGTTTCTTAAACAACCTGGAACCCATCCCTTGCAAATGTATATCAAGGGCTAATATTCCTTTTATCTCCCAGATTCTGTGAGAAGCTAGGGAACCTAATTTCCATAGGTACCATGGGGTACCTCCATCCAAGTTGCAAAACTACCTGTTTTCATGGGGGCATGCTTTTATTTTTCCTTTGGATTAAGCCAAGTAGCCTACACTGATGGTCAGCCTATTTAGTAAGTAAACTTGCGGTGAATTGTGTGTGACATATGGTGAGTCAAGACACCTTGCTGAAGACTGGTTATCATTTCTTTATCCCAGTATGTAGGGGTTTTTATCTGCCTGACTGTATAACAGGATGGAAGATTTTGTTCAGTCTTTGCAGACTCTTCTGTATTGTCTGTAATGCATTACACATTCTGGTTTAATGTTTGATCAGCAACAAAACTGTCTTCTTTCTCCTCTACTTTTTGGAGGGGTTTTCTGAGTTGTTAAGAGATTTTGTTATTTTATTTCCACAACACTATCCAGCCTGTACATCCAATTTGTTCTTTCAGATAATCAAAGAACTTTTTAAAAAGCTGAGTAATGACATCCCTGAATAAAGAATACAGTTTCTGAAGCTGAATATTTTCAAAGGAATAAACAAATACAGAAATATACATATTATCATTTTAATAAAAAAAAACAGTACAAAGAACTTCTGGTGTGAACTGTGAGATACTAGACATCTGTTTATTTCTCTCTCCTCCAAAATTCTTTTGACATGAAAGGGAAGACATATAAAAGATGAAACTCTTAACAGTGCTGAGAGGTATGTAAAAAAATAGGTACGTAAATAAAAAATTTAGCAGATTAAAAGTTTTGATGTTTTAAAATAAAAAAATTTAAAAATAAAAAATAAAAGTTTTGATATATTTTTAGAAAAGAGAAAGAAGATACTAATGAATGAACTAGAATATAAGGCTGAGGCAGGAGGATCATTACAAGTTCAAAACCAGCCTGGGCTACAAAGTGAGCTCAAGGCCGGCCTGAACTGCATAGCAAGACCCTGTCTCAAAAAAGACAAAAAATAAATAAATAAATAAACTATAATGTAAATGAGACAGGAGATCAGGACTAGGGCAAACCAAACACGTAACTGGTAAAATTTGTCAAAGGTCATAAAAACCAATGGCTAACAGTTTGAGTGAGATATTTCTTAAAAGGAGAAGACATGCACAAAACATGGAACCCAAAATGACATCAAGCTTACACACAACACTTGACCAGTGAGAAAAGTGCTGTTTGCCACTGGGTGTGGTGGCACACACCTGTAGTCCCAGCACTCAGGAGACTGAGGCAGGCAGATCCCCTTGAGTTCAGGCCAGCCTGGGCTCCACAGTGAGTTTAAAGCCAGCCTGAACCATATAGCAAGACCCTGTCTTTTAAAGAAAGAAAGAAAGAAAGAAAGAAAGAAAGAAAGAAAGAAAGAAAGAAAGAAAGAAAGAAAGAAACAGAGAGAGAGAGAGAGAGAGAAAGAGAGAGAGAGAGAGAAAGAAAGAGAGAGAGAGAGAGAAAGAAAGAAAGAAAGAAAGAAAGAAAGAAGGAAAAAGAAAGAGAGAGAAAAGGTGCTATTTTCAATCCTTCAGTTTTTTTATTAGAATCTAGCACTGTCTTGCAAAAACAATCATAAGACACTATTTTCAATGCTTCATTTACACATGGGCACAACCAACTCAAAGATACTGTTTCTGATCCTTCATTTACATCTGGCCAAAAGCCAAGCAAGTTTTCAATAGGACAGTTTACACGTGATATGAGGCCAAGTTCTTGACAGGACAACTGTCCTCCACTCCTTATTTACATGGAGTGAAAGATAATCTGGGAATTTTGGATACTAAAGATCCCTTTCACTCTCTGTGTGTGCAGTTTTTTGAGACACAGTCTTGCTATATAGTTCAGGCTGGGCGTGAACTCACTCTGCAGCCCAGGCTGAACTCACACTAGAGGCAATCCTCCTGCCTCAGCCTCCTGAGTCCTGAGACTACAGGCGTGTGCCAACACATCTATTTATCTTTGAGGCCACTGTGAGCCTTTTCACTGGCCTGTTCTGCCCTAAAGTGAGTACTTTCTTCCCACCTTCAATAAATGTACAACCTTGTTACCTTTTCTACATGTTTTGATCAATTCTTTGTTTCGTTACAGACACCAAGGAAGCTCCAGAGGACCCACCATTCAGCAACACAGAGGAAACCTTGTCACAAAAAATACACAGAAGGCTGACGCTGAGGTAAAGCCCTGCTCCCCTCCATATGCACACGGAACCAGCAGGTATAAAGTGGGATCACCAGAACAGGGACAGACACTGAGGGACTCCTCGCGTGAGGCCAGCCACGCTTATCACCCCCTCCAAACAGGGGCAGCACTTCCCCCCACAGGCTCTAATGTAAGAAAAATGTAACTTATGGGACCTCGTGGAAAAGCTGTGCTTTCCACTGTAGATGTTAGTATCCCAGAGAGAAGGTCTCCTTTGGGCATTTGCAGTTAGAGGTGTGCTATGGTTTAGATCTTAAGTGTTCCCCAAAGGTCACGTGTTCAAGGCTGTGGCCCAGCATGTGGCATGACTGGGGGGGTGGCAGAACCTTTACAGGACAGTGCCTAATAGAAGGAGGCTGGCTGTCACCAGGGCCATGCCCTCTCTCTGCTTCCCAGCTGCCATGAGGTAAACAGCTTTGCTCCACCACACGCCCTAGCCACGGTCTACGACATACCTCACCACAAGCCTCAGATGCTCAGCCCACTATCCTGACTAAAACCTCTGAAACCAAGAACCAGAATAAATCTTGCCTCCTTATGAGCTGATTATCTCAGGTATTTTGTCAGGAGGATGAAAAGCTGACTAACAAGGGTAGAAAGCTCAATCCACTTCCTTTTTTTCTGAACAGAGAGAAGATCTGTCAGGCAGAATGCTCCACATGGTCGGAGTTCTCCTGGGTAACGAGGTGTAAGCTTATAGAGGCAACACACCCCGACTGCTTAGTCAGTCGGTTCTGCATTCATAAGGACAACTGTAAGATTGTCTACTTCATATTCCTTAGGTACACATTCTTTCTCTGTGCCCTCACTGGTTCCCCCTCCCCAGCCCCAACTAATTTGAAGGTTACAATTACAGCCTGTACATCCTCGAAAAACAAATTAGGAATACTTTATTCTTTTTCTATTGTATAATTTGAGGTCATCAGAAAGTTGAATAAAATTGTCCGAAAACATTTGAGCAAAGGGCTTTTTGTTGGGTAGACTCTACAACAAACATGTATTTAAAAATTACAGATCTTTTTAGTAACCAATTATGATACTCTTCCCAGTGCATTTCAGGACATTCTAGCCCAAATTCCAACTATAAGCATTTCAATGATTTCACTAAAAAATTTGTCTCCCTGACCAGAGCCGCCCTCTGCCCACACTCATGGTAGGTCAGAAGAATTGGAAAATTAAGAGATTCTCAGAATGCCACTTTTCTAGAAGTAGAATTATTGCATCTAACATATTTTTAGCAGGGCATGATGGCGCACACCTATAATCCTAGCACTCAGGAGGTTGAGGCAGGAGGATCGTTGTGAGTTTGAGACCAGCCTGGGCTACAAAGTGAGCTCAAGGCCAGCCTGAACCACATAGTGAGACCCTGTCTCAAAAAGACCGAAAAAAAAAGAAAACAGAACCTAGATGGCCATGGTGGCACATGCCTATAATCCTAGCACTTGGGAGGCACTGTATGCACTATGTAACATCTGAAAACTTCATCTCGAGAACATATTACTTGTAATAAACGATGATTTAAAAATTATTTTAGTTCATTAATATGATATTTATTGACCTGTATGATTTAGAAATTCACTTACACTGATTTAAGCATTCTCTAATAGTATCAAAATCTGAGAAACTCATAACTAAATGTTTTAAATGAAATATATCCTAAGATGACCATGGTGGCACACGCCTGTAATCCCAGCACTAGGGAGGCTGAGGCAGGAGGATCATTGTGACTTTGAGGCCAGCCTGGGCTACAAAGTGAGCTCAAGGCCAGCCTGAACTGCATAGTGAGACCCTGTCTCAAAAAGACAAAAATAAATAAAAAAAAAGTAAAATAAATGTATCCTAAAACTAAAACTGTTGGGCTAGGTGTCACATTCTTATAATCCAAGTAGTTTAGGAGACTGAGTCAGGAGGATCCCAGGTTTGAGCCCAGCCTGGCCAATGTAGTAACTTAGTGAGACCCTGTCTCAAAATAAAATAAAATTAGCCCTGGGGATCTCAGTGAGAAGACCCTGGATTCAATCCTCATTCCACAACAAACAAACAACCTCGATCTATATTTTATTATCATGAATCTATAATAAACAGATAATAAAAATGAAGCACTTTTGTAAGAAAAATGACTAAATTTTATCCTGTAAAGCCTTCTTCAAAAAAGTCTATGTGAACAATGACATGGCTATGATGTATTTCTAGTACATTCTATAAAACTGCTCTATGAGTATATTTGTTGAAGAGTAGATTTTTCTGAGGTGAGTTAATATATGTTGAATATGAAGTTCAAATTTTCCCTCTAAAGCCCTATGAAACAAGTGCCTGAAGAAACTGTGACAAATCATTTCTTATGATTTACATTTTCTCAGTACTTAATATCCTTACAAGTCAGAAATCACCCCTTCACAAATTACAACTTGGTTGAACATTGTCTAATTGTGAGTGATAAAGATGCTGCTTTTTTTTTTTTTTTGGTGGGGGGGTTTTCCAGTAGCGGGAATCGAACTCACGACCTTGCGTTTGCCAGGCAGGTGCTGTGCTGCTGAGCTAAATCCTCAGCCCCAGATGCTGCTTATCTTGAAAATGATTTTCTGTCTAATAGAAAAGCTTAATTTTCTATATATAGTCACTTATCTCTGCTACTGATAGGTTGAAAGAAATTCTTTGTATACATTATCAATTTTATTTTCTTTTACCTGCTATCAGCTTCTCTGTATCAGGCAGATGTGTGAACTGTCTTTTGTATTCTTCATTCTTGTCTTTATAGGTGGAACTTGAAATCTGCAGCATTAAAAAAATTAAATTTCTGTTTAATTATAATATCTTAGAAAATAAAATGGAATTGAAAAGCCTATGATTTGTATGCAGTGTTTTGTATGTCCTTACAGGTAAGTTACATAAATTATTTCAAAAACCACCAAAAAAAGAAAAAGTTGGGAAATCCTCTCTGCAAAAACAAATGTATAGCTAGGAAAAAAAAATATTAAAAACAATCATCTCAAATAACTGACGGTTGGAGATGGCCCCATGTGCCCCAGGCTTTGGCCTGACTAACTCCACACCACGGATTCCACAGCCTGGCCGCAGCCGCCAGCAACTCTGAGCCAGCTCTGCATTTTGCTTCCCCTTGGCGTCAGGCAGCAGAGGTGCTGACCAAGGAACTGACCTGTTAGTGGAAGAGGCCAACACAGAGGGAGAGAAGGTAAGCCTAGAGAGTTGGCAGATCTAGGGAGAAATTACGGACTTGCCCAGCAGTGCTACCCAAGAAAAGCCCACAGCCACTGCACACTACAAAAACAGTGTGGGTTTTATTCTGAAAATAGCTCCATGGCAGGCTACAGTTGGAGAAGAAACCCAATACACCACTCGCCATATTGCCAGTGTTTCATCAGACATCATATTGGCAAGGGATTTACTGTTTAAGACTGAGCCACAGAACACCTACAGATAAAATCCACTTCGGAGATTCCAGTGTTATTCTGTGCAGATGCTAAGTTAGTGACAGCCACAGGCAACAGTCATGGAGAAGGTGCAGGCTAGACAAAGATCCACTGCACTGAGAAGTTTAAGCTCAGACCTGGAAGGACAGTGGCCCCGAGAAACCAGACCTGGCAAATATGGCTTTCAGAGACGGCTGGATCCGAAAGTGCCACCATTCAGTCTAGCAGTCATCCTGCACCCCCACCCACTGTTTCCACCCAGGAGAGACCAGTTGTTTGACTGCTCTCCCCATGTGACAATGTGAGCAGGGACACATCTCAGCTTGGATGGTTGCCACAGTCTGCAACATACAGCAAGAGTGGCAGCAGGAAGGCAACCTAAAAACCCACAAGCCATAAAGCTAGGCCAGGATATCATGACTTGCAGAATTTCCAGATCAAGGAAACAAATTCTCATTCAATGCCAGGCATGATGGAGCATGCCTGTAATCCCAGCACTCAGAAGGCTGAGGTAGGAGGATTGTTGTAAGTTCAAGACCAGCCTGGGCTACACAGTGAACTCAAGGCCAGCCTGAACTGCATAGCGAGACACTGTCTCAAAAAATAAAGGACAAAAAACATCAAAAAGACAAAAAGGAAAAAGAAAGAAAACATGAAAAATAGATCCAAAAGCTGGAATTAAAGAAAAATCACAAAGAAGCACAAATAGCACAAAAACAAAAACCCTCTTTACAGAAATAATAGCACCACCAGGCATGGTTGCATACACCAGTAATCCTAGCACTTGGGAGTCTGAGGACCCCCTTGAGTTCGAGGCCAGCCTTGGCTCCATAGTGAGTTCAAGGCCAGTCTGAACTACATAGCAAGACCCTGCCTCCAAAATAAATAATAATAATAATGATAATAATAATGGCAGAAAACTTCTCAAATATGAAGAAATAATTTAACATACTGATAAGTGAGGCATATAGAACAGCCAAATAGCCACGATCAGAAAAGAATCTCTCCACAACACGTCATAGTCAAAATCCAGAAGTCCAACACAAGCACAAAACCTTAAATGCAATGAAGCCCTCATAAAGGTAAACTCACTACAGAGTTACAGCAGATTCTCAACACAAATCTTAAAAGGCCAGAAGAGCTTAGAGTGAAATATTTCAAGTACTAAAAGAAAACAACTTCCAATCCAGACTGATACATCCTACAAAACTATGTTTCAAAACTGATGCATAAATAAGGTCTTTCCATGATGAAGAGCACCTTAAGAAATTCGTGACCCCAACAAAAACAAACAAACAAAAAATCCAACAGCATGCTATATACAAGAAACACATTTAATCCCCCCTCCAAAAAGATAGACTAAAAATCAAAGTAGTGCTCCAAAAAATTCTTAAGAAACACCTAGAAAGAGACCAATAATGTCAAAAGGTCTAATAGAATGAATATACCAAACAGGGTAAGCTGTTAAGCAGAAAGGGAAATAAAGGAATGGTGGGGGAAGCAACAAGAAAATAATGAAATGACAGAAATAAGTCAACACCTTTAATAATAACTTTCAATGTGAATGTCCTTATTTCCCAATCTAAAGACACAGATTGACAGAATGCATCAAGAAACAAAATGCAGGGGCTGGGGATATAGCTCAGCGGCACAGTGCCTGTCTGACAAGCACAAGGTCGTGAGTTCAATTCCTGGTCCTGGAAGAAAAAAAAAAAAAATCCAACAGCATGCTATATACAAGGAACACATTTAATCCCCCCTCCAAAAAGACAGACTAAAAATCAAAGGATAGAAAGCAATATTCCATGCAACAGGAACCTGAAAACAAGCAGAAATAGCTATTCCATTTTCATACAAAGTGGACCTCAAGCCAAAACTGATGAGAAGAAGCAAACAATTACCATATACTGGTTAAGGGAACAATTCAATAAGAAGAGATAACAAATATAAACATATATGTACCAAACACCAGTGCACCCAATTTCATAAAACAATCCTGCTGGACATAAAAGATTGGATTAACATCAACACAATTTCCTCTTTTCTTGTAGTTTTCCAAAATCTGATTGGTTGGATGGTTAGTTGATCGGTTGGTTGATTTCTCAATATGAAGTTCAAACTGTCCTTCAACTCATTATGTAGCCCAGGCTGACTTCAAATTCACAGCAGTTCTCCTGTTTCAGCCTGCTGAGTGCTGGAATTATAGGCATGTGCTACTACCCCAGCTCTAAAATCATTTTCAAAAATAATCTTGCTTTAAGTGACTCCAACACTTGTGCCTATTTAGACATGTAAATATAATAGTAATAAACAACTCTAAAATCTCAGTGCTTATAATAATAATGTTTTGTTTTGTTTTGTTTTGTTGTCTTTTTGAGACAAGGTCTCACTATGAAGTTCAGGCTGGCCTTCAGTTCACTTGGTAGCCCAGGCTGGTCTTGAACTCGCAAGGATCCTCCTGCCTGAGCCTCCCAAGTGCTGGGATTACAGGAGTGCACCACCATGCCCAGCCATAATAATGGTTTATGTCTCAGTCTTTTAGGGTCCACAGTGGGCTAACTGAAGAATTAACTCCCAAATATCACACAGAGATGTATGCTAATAAAGATTCCACCATCTAGAGGCAAGAACATTCAAAATAGTGTACCAAATCTTAAAAGATTTCACTAGGAAATGACACACATTATTTTGTTCATATCTCACTGACAAAAAATAGTCATGTGGCTAAGCTTACTTCAGGAACACAGGAAAACACCTATCAAGGTCCAGAATAAAAAAAGAAAAAAAATTGATGAATAGAATTATTACTTGAATTTATGGACTGAGATGAATCTGGACTTTTTATGTTACTAGACAGACAATGAATCTGTCCAAACAGTCTTTTCCCCAAAGCAGTACCCTTCAGTTTCAGAAGAAAACATTCACTCAGAGTTTCATACTAACAAAGCAATCACTTTTAAAAAGTGAACTATAATTCACATTTCACCCTTTTGCAATGTGCAATTGAGTGTCTCTGGTACACTCACAAAGCTGTGCAATCATCACCATTTTCCAGAAAACATTTATTGTGTCAGAAAGAAAGTCAATATCCATAAGCAGTCATTTTCTACTTCCCCCTACCCCTAGGTCTTATCAATTACTAATCTGTCTCCATAGATTTCTTTATACCACATTTTTATTTATGTATTCATTGTTTGATTAACATGTGGATTATTTCCACTTTTGCTTATTATAAATAATCCTGCTACAAACACCCATGTGCAAATTTTTGTGCAAACACGTTTAAAGATTCTTGGGTACATATATATATATATATATATATATATATATATACATATATATATAACAGTAGAACTGCTAGTTCATATGGTAATTCTATGTTTAACATTTTGAGGAATTGCCAAACTGGATGTACCATTTTACATTCTCATCAACAATGTATGAGTGTTCAAATTTCTCCACCTCCTCAATAATTAACATCTATCTTTATTATCATGACCATCTTGGTGTGAAACGGCATCCTATGATAGATTGATTTGATGTTAAACATCTTTCTACATGCCTATTGTCCATTTATGGCTTTTTGTTTGTTTGTTTGTTTTGGTTGTTTTCCAGTAGCAGGAACCGAACTCACGACCTTGCGCTTGCCAGGCAGGTGCTGTGCCGCTGAGCAAAATCCCCAGCCTCCCCATTGTCCATTTGTGTATCTTTAAAGAAATGCTTTTTCAAATTTTGTTCACTTTTAATTGGGCTGTCTTTTTATTATTGAGTTGTAATAGTTCTTTACCTAGCACAACTCTCTTATCAAATATATTTGATTTGTAGATACAGTATATCCTCATATTCTATGAGCTACTTTTTTTCACCTTCTTAATGGTCTCCTTGAAGCATAGCCATTTCTAATTTCAATGTAATCCAAATTATCTATTTTTTCTTTTACTCTTGGGATGTTGATATCATATCTAAGGAACTACTATCTAAACTAAATATCATAGATTTACACTTAGACTTTTTTCCTCTAAGAGTTTTATAGCTTTAGCTCTTACATTTAGCTCTATAATATGTTTTGAGTTAATTTTTGTATTTGGTATGAAGTAGGGGTCCAAATTCATTCTTTCACATGTGTGTATCTCATTGTCCCAATATGATTTGATGAGAAAAAAATCTATTCTTTCCCACACTAGGTTGCTTTAGCACACTTCTCAAAAGTCAATGGATCAGGGGCTGGGGATTTAGCTCAGTGGCACAGCGCCTGCCTGGCAAGCACAAGGTAATGAGTTCAATTCCTGGTACTAGAAAAAAAACAAACAAAAAAAAAATTTAATGGATCATAAATTTAAG